TTTTTTTTTTTTGCTTTTTTTTTGCTTTTCTCAAAGCTTACAATATTATTTTACACTATACTTTTGTACAAAAAAATAAAAAGCTGTTGCAAAAATAATTTATTTATTTAAGTCTTTAAAATTAATCTACAAAAAAACAAACGACAATATTAATAATGTCCAAATATTGTCCAAATAATGTCCAAATATTGTGCGATAAACTAAAAAACCCGATAAGCATACATTCTCTGTTTCTGTTTTTTTTAGTTTCTACTAGTACTTTAGTGCAAAAAATCAAAAGAACTATTGGTAAACATTTAACCACATCAATTGTATGACTATAATTGTAAAAATTACTAAATTAATTAACTAAACTACTCAAGCAAAGGTTATCAAGAAAAAAAAAAAAGACAATAACAACAACAGAAAGCAAAAAAAAATTTCTAACTTCGAGGACAGAAAAAACCGATAAACTACAGAAAAGATACAAAATTATTGGGAATAATTCAACTGAATTTGGTAACAACAGAATTGGAACATCGGTTAATGGCAGTAGCAGCAGCAGCAGCTGAAGAAGAAGATGATGATGACGATGATGACGATGATAACGAAGAACGATGACGATGATGGATATTTGATTAGTATTTGCAAATGGTTTTAGCAACGGTTTAGTGCCCAATTTAATGCTATCATTGTTGGAGAAACAAAAAAAAAAACAAAAAAAAGAGATTCTTTGAAAACGGTTAACTGTTTATCAGTTTAACTGCTATATGTAATCTATTAAGAAAGTAAAAAAAAAAATTTTCTTTTTTTATTTTTACTAATTCTTTTCATACAAAAAAAAAAGAACTGTCATTTTTTGCTGTTTTTTTCTTCTTTCTTTTTCTTCTTCTTCTTCTTCTCTTTGTCTTTGTCTTTGTACACTCAATACTTTTGGGTTTTTTTTCTTTTTTTGCTGTCAATTTTAATCAGATTTTTTAGCGGCTTTATCAGTTTCACATTTACAACATTGAAGTCAGAAATAAAAAACAAAAACAAAAAGTGGTGCTAAAGAAACGTTTAAAGAAGAAGAAAAAGAAGAAGGAAAAAAAAAAGAGGAATTCCGGTTTTTTCAGTTATAATGTTGAAGAAAAAAAGAAACAGTGCTAAAAAACAAAAAACTTTTTGACTGACAGTTTTCTTTTTTTTTTTTTCTCTTCGTTGTTTTTCTGTTGAACATCTTTTATGGTAGAGATAAAACAAAAGCAAAAAAAAGAAAACGATTTGAAAAAAAGCAACAATTTTAAGCATTGAAAAAAAAAATCACACATTGTTTAATGTGCAGAAAGAAATCTTTAGCTGTTTTAAAGCAACTGCAAAGTATTATGGAAAGTTTTCCGTTTTTCTACAATTTCTATACATGAATTACGCCTGCAGTCAAGGAACCCATTTGACATAGATAAGTGTTTTCAGTTTTTTTGTTTTTGAATAAAACTAACAAATTTTTTGGCTATTTTTCTTAGTTAGTTTTTTTTTTACACGACTTCTGAATGCTACATACAGCCTTCATTTCCTTCTCTTTTTTTGCTTTTAGGTAGACCTTATTTTGTTGGTATTTTCATAGTTGTTTTGGGCCATCTATGCACACACTATTGGACAACAACAGTGACGAAAAGCAGATAATCTAAGACTTTTTTGTGCTATTCTTTAAGACAATAATAGCTATTAGTAGTGAAAAAAAAATATGACATCTGCAATGCTTTAACAGTTTTCTTTTTTTGGATGTTAAGTTGAACGAAGTAAAAAAAAAAACGTTAAATATATTGAAACAAATCTAACTTTTTATAGATACTCTAACATCTGACACTTAAATTTTACCTGCAAACTGTCTACAAGAATCAAATAAAAATAGCATTTTCTGATCAACTAATTTTTACATCAAATTATGATAGACATCGGAAGAAATTTAATTCTTTACACTTCTTTGTTGCCATCGTCATTGTGTATAAACGCAGAATTGACCAAAAATCACTGATAGAAAAAAAAAACTAACATTTTATCAAAATTTCTTCGCATGTATCGCATAATTGTTGATCAAAACAAACTGCAGAAAATACCACAAAATGACAGAATACAACAGTAACATTTCATTTACAAATCATTTTATTAGTCTTTTTATAGGTCTCAAGTATTTTTTTAAATAAGTTTGCTAGCGATCAGCATTAATTATATCATTTTTATCGTTTTCACTTTTGCGATAATTAAGACTGGTTTTATCTTGTCAATAAATTAATTGTTCAATATAGAAGTTCGATAAAAAAAGATTGTCGTTTGAAATACTTTTCTGAAGTTTAACAGGTGCTATCGCTGTCTACGCTTTTAATGACAAATAACTTGAGGAAACTGAGACAATTGAATTTTAGAAAACCAAAGTCATCCTGACTGGCGACTATCAGCAGCTCAGCGCTAAAAGGGCATCCCAATTATGTACACGTGTGTATTCCACTATCATTTGAAGCAAAACTTTGCATTAACAAGAAGAAGAAAAAGTGCAGAAGAATTTCTCAACATAGGAGCACCAGCAAAAAAAGGCAGGTGACGTTATCCTGCATTTTGCAAAGTAAAAGTCGTCATGTGAGAGTCAAATTTCTCTCTTCGCCACTTTGTAAGCAGGTCTTCAACTGTCTTTTCATAACTATTTACTGTATCATAATTTCCTTCGTGTGTTCAGCTGTTCAAAACTGGCAACTTTATTGTCAAAAATGATAGAGCAGTCTTGATCTTTGTATAAAATCTTTGTGCACCTTAACAGTATGTCTTCAACAACAAATCGTGTCGCAAGCTTCCCAATCCAAACCATAAATCTCCGTAATCTGTTAAGCAACCCAGCTAACTACTATCCAAGCCTGCAGTAGTCAAAGAAGTTTTCTAAGCCAGTACAACTTTTCCAGAGCAAAATCAGTGCAAAAGCCGGATTCTCTGAGTGTGAAGTCTTTAAGCAGTATACAAGTGTCGTCTCAACTGAACAACTGTGTCAAAATATTCTTTACTTAACGCTCGCTGGGTTTATTTAATTGTTTGTTTAGCTTCTTCATACAAGTTAGCTTGTAACTGCTCATGCTCTAATCTTTTTCATCTAAAATTTTACCGAGTACTCGATCAGTGTTGACATCTCTCCTTTATATGCCGTAGAATTTAGATCACTTAATGGTATGTTACAATGCTGTTACCGTCAAGCATTAACTGGCATCGTCTGGGGATGGACAATAATCAGATCAGTGCTTCATTTCCTTCACTGACTTTCATAATCCCATATGAAGTAAAATTTGTTGGTTTGATGCGTACTCTCACAGAGTCAACTCATCTGTTTGAAAACGTGTTTTGTGTTACCACTGTTTTGTAAAACTGTAAATGCATTTGATGATGTATGGAGTGATTCAGATGACTTTATCAAATTTACATTAAAAAATCTTCTCTGATTTTGTGAAATACTGAACTTTGGAATTTTCAAATCCAAAATTCGTTATAATTTTTATTTCAACCCCAGTAGTAAACAGCAACCATACTTACATGGAGCATAACCCTCAAAGGCAGCCCTCTAATTCTTAGAGTGGTACAGCTAAAAGTTTGCTTTTAAAAACTTGAAAAGGATGTACAGCGCTGATTGAGAAAAGTCTTACTGAAAGTTGTTTCCAGGTGTTAGGTCTCGGTCTTTAAATTGTAAACGTCTTGTTAAAAGAAATGCAGTATGCGAAAAATGTAAAGACGTATTTTTCAAAATCTAATAATTCTAAAACAGATGTAATAAATATAAATTAAATTTAAGTACTTTTACTGGCAGAAGCTACAATTGAGAGGTCATTCGTATTACCAAACAGTTACATCTGTTAAACTGTCGTTCTAATCTATTTTAGGATGTAAAATTTTGGTTATTTGCATGCTTACGTTGTTTTTTTTTGTAAAGACTTTTTTTATTTAACTGAACACAAAATGTGAAAAAAATATTACCTAAAATCAAAAAAATTTGTTATTTTAATTATTCAGTAAACTTATTAATTTTAAACCTTTATTTTTATCACAGTGGCAAGTAGGATTTCAAGAGAACTGTCGTACCTACAAGCTCCCGTTACAGCAAAGTTTTTATGCGCAATCAGTAGACATATGTAATTTATGTTTATCGTCTGATAGCAAGAATTGATCAAAGTTGATAAAACATCATAGTGAGGAAATAAATCTGTTCATAAGCATAGTGACCTCTGCATCTTCCATGACAAAAGCATGTCTACTTCTTAAACAAATGCTAGATTAAGTCAAAACAGTTCTTCGCTTTCTAATTATTATGCTAATTGAAATCTTAAAAACGTAATAACTCTTTAGCTTTAGCATATCAGATTTGCCTGCTACTGTTCAACAAGATCAGTGTTTGGATTTTATCTACATAACTGACGTTTGACAAGCTCATTTACAATTCCAAAAAGAAAAAAACTATGCTATTTTGTTGTTTGCTTTTTGAAACATTTCTGAAACTACTGAAGTGCTGCAGAAGGTACTGCCACTAAGGGAGGTTCAACTGTATTTTTAGTGACATCTCTGCTTAACAATATAACATTCAATTAATGAGCTTCTTGTGGAACTCAACCCGTATCTGTTTGTTCGTCACCGGTTGTTGTTGTACCTGTTTCTGACCTTAAAAATTCTTCGTTTATTTCAGGTTCAATTTTCTTCTTTTTTTTACGCTCTTTTTTTTCTTTCCTTTTCTGCTCTTTTCTCTCTCGTTTTGCTTGTAATTTAGCCAGTTCCTTTTCATATTCAGGTCTGGTATCAACTTCTGTTTGAAAATCATCTACAAATGTTTCGTCTAGCAAATCAGGCTCTGTGTACTGCAGAACCTCCATCGGGAGTTCTCCATGAAATCCTGGTGCGAATTCCAAAGGGACTTGTTCTCCACCGTCATTATAGATCATTGCCGCATTAGAGGCTAATCTTTCGTTATAAGGCAATGTTTCGTTGTAACGCGATGCTTCAGGTAATGTCTCATCAAAAGTCCCCCCCAGTTGCACTTCTAATAGTGCAACACTTCCTCCTGTGGGTACTCTCGCTTCGCTTTCAGGTAGCTGTGATTTTGACCCCGCTTCTAAATCATCTTCTATTATTTGCTTGGCAGCTTTTTTCTCTTTTCTCTCTTCTTTTCTTTGTTTCCTCTTCTCTTCTTTCGCTTTGAGGTCAGCGAGGTAAGACTCATAACTAGGCCTCTGATTTTTATTAAAGGTTTTTATTATCTTTGGTTTAAGATTTTGCTGGTTTACTGGTTCCGTAGAATACGGTGGCATATCATGACTGTATTGTTGTGCAAAAAATTTCTGATCAGGCTGCTGGTCAACTAAAAATTCGTAAGCGTCATAGGACGACTGCGGTACTGATGTAAACGAGGGAGGTTGTATTGGAGGTTTTCTTTGCGGCGGTCGAGGTAAATTTTGGCTTGAAGCAGTGGCTGCTGAATCGTAAATTCCTCTTGTTCTGTACGATGGTTCTTCGTAATCGCTGAAAGGTTTTTGATAAGTGCTGTCGTCTAGCTTCTTCTTTTTTCTCATAGAAGAACTTCTAGACGGCTTAGATTCTTTTTGCGTATTCTGTGACATCCGTAACAGTAGAACTAACATCACTATGGCAAAAGAGATAATACCAATCGCAACATATTTTAAATCTGAAAACAATTTATTTATTCTGACCGAGTGAAAAAAGGACAGTTTGTAGATTATTAGCATCGTTGTTATTTAAAAGTTATTCAGTTCTCGTCTTTTTTTCTGTTTAAATTCTTAACAATAATTAAATTAAGTACAAAGTACACATCTCATTGGACTTTTCTGATGATTCTTTAATGGTTTTTAATTTCTATATATCAGCTTATATATGGCACCAAACTGTCGTAGACTGTAACTTAATTATAAACAAATAATTATTTTTGTGTATTATAAAGTTTTTTTCAATTCGAATAATCAATGACATTAAAATGGTGTAAGAGTGGTACCCACATTTTTCAGCTTGTTTTTACAATAACATTTGAGTACCATGGTAAAATACAGAGGTGTTAATTCTGTAAAAAATTGTGTTTTTTACGCTACACCTATTAGTTTTGTTAAAATAATAGTGTTGAGGGAGTTAGATGGAAGAGGTGGTGTTGAGCATCAATACGGCACTTATGACAAAAAAAATAAGCTTGTTTTATAAGCTAGATCTCAACGTTTTTGAATTTCTGACGAGACTTTCTTAACCGTTTTTATGAATTCTGCACTGCATCTGTAAAAGTGCTACAACATTTTCCAAATATACTCTGATAATATATATTATTTTATTTCAAGCAAATTATTATAAGTCAAAATTACGATGTTGTGAAATTTTGCAGAAAAACTATTAAACATTTTTAAGAACTTAATGGCTAATTTTTTTCTGCCAATAAAAAATGATTGTTCGGTGTTTCACTTTTTTGAAGACACACTATAAACGAAATTACGAGCTAACAAAAGTATTTAGAACGAAACTATAGTTTTCTACTTTTCAACAATAATTTTTCACTTGCCCTTCAAACTTTGAAAAATATCATTGTAATTTAGGGTGCTTTCTGCTTAATAATTGTTATTTAGCTCTTAATTACTTTAAGAACTTTTCTTAGGCAAATTTTGAGATTTTTTAAAGCATTTTTAACCGTCTGATATTAAAGTTTTTACAAACTAATTTTTAGAAAACTAATTAGCTGAATGATTTATAGCAATCTGAGGGAATGTTTAGGTCATACCAGATTTGACCGTCTCAATATACTGATCTTAAACAGTTACCCAAAGTTTCTTCTAAACGCTTTATAATAACTCATAACCCAGTTTTTTCAAGAGCAGCTCTTTAACGCAATTATTGTTAATAAGATACATAAACTTTTTCTTTTTTTTTTTAATTTTTGATTTAGCTTTTCGCTTTTAAGAGAAAGAAGACGAAGAATGTTGAATCGTTAAATTTAAAAGTGAGAAGAACAGTAGAAGAACAGAAGATTTCTTTTATTTTAGTTGACTGAGTTCTTAAGGAACGGATAAGAAGTGCGCTACGAACAGTGGACATCTGAAAACGTGTGGTAAAATAAAAGGATTTAGTTATAGATTTATTTTGACAGAAGGACAGAAAATGTGAAGAAGCGTCCTGTAGAAAAAATTTTTAATTTTTTTATCAAGAATTAATTTTTAAAATATTTGGTAAAACTGCATTAAAAAATGTTGTCCGAGTCATAAGTGGAATAGGTTGGTAACTTGGCTCAAGAACAAGGTCTTGTTTGAAACATCTACAGAACCAGATCTGCTTTAGAAAAAAAACAGTGCTGTTTGTGTGGTGTGATACCACAGTTATATACTAAAATTTTACAGAAACTAATGTATTTATGAGAGCATTTATTTGTATTTTGAAATAGAATTCATGGCTGATAACAAGAAAACTATTTAGCATACGTTAGTCAGCCAAAGAAGGATAAACTTTCTCCTGCATAGAACTTGGCCGGCTACTGCATTATTAACTTGTAGAAAATAGAACCAACTAGACATCAATACTTTCAGCTGCGTTCCTCAGTTAATTTTTACAAATTACTATTTTTTTTTCCATTTTTTATTAGCTGAACTACCTCAACTGGGTGGTGGTTGAAAATATCACTAAAGCTTAAAAGACTCTGTTGGCTGGGGATTTTATGAAAAAGGTAATTATAACCTATAATAAGAATAAAGAACTTGTTTTCTTTCTGATAACACTTGCCAACTGTAATTTATTGAGATACAGAAATTTAACGTGAAAGAAAAATATTATAAACGCAAAAAGTTAAAACAATCGAAACATAACATAAATACCGTTTTTTTATAACTGCTACAACTATCTAAAACATAAATCAAAGTTCAACTTTTTGTTCCGAGAAGGTTAATTTTAAGGAAAAGAACCTACAATAAACTTAATCAATCTAATCGTAAATTTGAATAGTACTTACTATCCTGAACTGAGTTCTCCTGAAGAATAAAATTGTTCAAAGGCATAAATGCAAAACTTTGACAAATTTTTTATAAACGAGCAAACAGGCTACTCGTAAACCATTTTTTTCGAAGCAAGAAGCTTTGGATTTTTGCTTTTTATACTGCAGTCACGTTTAATTTTCATCAAAGATGCTCGACTTCTTTCACAAAATTAGCTTGACATTTTCAGGTGTTTTTTTTACTCAATTTTTCTATATATCTGAGAGGTATTTTTTGTTACGGCTGACTCTGAAGACCAAAAGAATTGTGACCAGTAATAAACACCAATTCTTAAAAATGAAGAAAAAACATACTTTATCTGCGACGTCGTCTGAAAATAAGAATTAAAATTTCATATATCAATTTTTGTCAAAAATAAACCTTTTTTAAAGAAAAGGTAAGTAAAATAAGAGAAAATATGAAACCTTCAACCGTCAATTTTAGCCGTCTTATCTCCTCATTTGTTACCTGTAATAATTTCAGCTTTAACAAGTAACAATACTTTCATTTTACA